ACCACTGATTTCGCCAGAGTTTTGAGAAAATAGGTCATATGCTGCTGATCCAGGCGTAGCCTTCCTCGGAAACATTGCCCGTCTATGACGACGAACAAAGATAAGTCCGTCAACTGTGTGAGAAATTAATAGACAACAATTTTAGTTAATTAATGAAGTATTGGAATTTATTTATTTCAGAATTGATCCGGTGCTAATTTGAAGGTAAGTATTGAGAGGATTTATGGAGCAATAACTAATAATCTAGTATTTGTAACCAAAATTTGAATTTTAAAACTTTTAGTGAGCTTAACATCAAATAAAGCTCTAAGCGTCCGGTTTTGCCGGGAGCATGCTACCAACGTCGTTGCGCATTTCTTCTAACCGCTTTTACTAATGACCAATGTGGTCGACCAGAATATTTGCGCCCACATTTTGATTTTTGCGTAAAGATAAATATGTTTTTGAGTTGTTATGCCATGTTTGGAGTCGGAGGTAGTATTCGCCTCCTAAAAACCCCTCCCACCAAATTGAATTTTGCGAATCTTTCTTCTCTTCGTAGGACGAGAAGTTTTTCTTAATTGTACCTGGCTGTTCACCTGCTCCTCCGCCGCTGAAGTGAGGCTGGGGATCCTTCTTGGATGTCTTCCGCTTAGCGTCCTTCACGGCCGACTTGACTTGGTCCTTCACGATCCTCTTCGCAGGCTTCTTATCGTCGTCGCCTGAAAGTGAGCAATTAATTTAGTTAATGTTTTGCATTGAGTATTTTTAAATAATCGAATTATATAAAATATTAATCTACGTCTCGAATGTGTTAATATTTAAAATTAATAAATAAAAAATATTACCAGCTTTTCGCTTAGTTCCAGATCCCGATCCCTGCCTAGGTCCTTCGTTAGACTTTTTCATGGGCTTCTTTTCCGCATCCTTAGCTTCTTCTCGTCTACCTGTACATAAGAGCGTAAACGTAATGTAAATTTACAAATTAAAAAATAAAATAAATGAGTAAAATAAAATGATAAATCTTACGGTCGCTATCCTTATGTTTCTTCTCGGCTTTCTTTCTGCCCTTGTGGGTCGTCTTGTTCTTGGCGTCTCTTCTCGGGGATCGGTCCGATTCCGAGTCGTCCGACCAAATTGCTTTCTTGCTCCTAGGCCTTTACCCTCATCGCTGCTGCCCGACGAACTGCGATGACTTGACCGTGAAGAACTACTATCGCTGGAACTGCGGCTCGTGCTGCGAGTGGCGCTGCGGCTTCTGCGATTATCGTTTTCTGAAATAGAAATTAAATTGTAGATTCAAATAATTTTTTCTGTTTTCTTTGCTTTTGAAGCAATTAGCTTAAGAATATGTCTGAATAAAATTTCTGAAAGAAAAAAAACTTACTTTTTGGCATGATGAAAAATTTTCTTCTTGTTCACAATTCAAAGTTAACTCCTCGAAATTATTTCTTTGACTAATACGACTAAATGGAGATCGTCGTCTTTTATATCGTGATTTAATCTCAAAATTGAACATGATGACGACAGTAAACAAGAATATAAAATAATACGATAACAAGTGAATACTTGCTTGTTAATGGAGTGATCTAATTAATTACTTTGTTGTGACTATGCGTATTATCTTCTTTGTTTGAGTTATTTTCTTTGTAACAAAGGTATTTAGTAGATTGTTATTAAATTATTTTTTATTTATTTTTAATACTTCTGTGTACTTGATCTTTGACATTTTAGTCGTCATGATGTCACTTCAGTAGTATAAATATGAGAACCGAATTATTTTTAAATTCCATTTGGTATTTGATTATACACCCGATATCAACACGCCAAATTGTCACAAATAATTTAAGCTATCAACTCACAAAAGTATGATACACATACGTAAATTATGTCAGCTGATGACATAATTACTTAATTTAATTGAAATGATGATGATATAATAATTATAATAAACTTTCTTATTATTTAGACGCAAATCTCGGAATTTTGTCGTATTCTCGCTGCTGCTGCTGCTGCTGCTACTACTACTCGCGGCTGGTGATGCTCGAAGGAATGAAACAATCTATGTGAGTACGACCACCATTTATCTATAATGACAATTTAATAATTAAATACTGTAGAATTTAAATACTGTATAATACTGCAGACTGGAGAACGAGCGGATTCTTTTATAAGCGGAGGAATTTATGCGTTTTCACTTCTCTCATATCAATGTGCGTCCTTGCGAATTTATGATTTATTCAATATTTAATCTTTCTTATCCTCATTTCGTGTCATAATTTTTATAGATGAATTCATGGAAATCTTGTACGAGATGCATCCCATGTGGACTTCAATTCGCCTCAGCAAGGCGGTTCGAAAAACACGTTGCGAATCACAGAAGGCCTTTTAGATTATATGTATGCAAGTTATGTAATTTAGAATTCACTCAACACAAAGCGTACGATATTCATATAAATTCACATAGATGTCCGCATTGCATGTATGAGGACAGCGATATTTTTGCTGTAAATAATCATATTTTGACGCACATAAAATCTTCTACGACGGCAGCAAGCAGTCGACAGACGGGATCGAGAAAGCGACAAAACGACGCATACCCTTTTAAAGAGATAGCTGCATTTAAGGGATATGTCAGAACATATCGACATAGAAATAACAAGAAAAATGCTCCGTATCGTACATTAATGGAATATTTTTCAGAAAACAAGCGTTGTATTTATGGCATTATTAAACAATGCTTAAATGACTACAAATCCGTAAAAATTCAAATAACCCTGACATGTAAATTTATTAGAGACACCCCGTTTTGCGACAAAGAAGAAGAGGAATATTGTACACAATTTATAAATTCAAATATGAAAGTTGTATTGAACAAATTTTATCTGACTGACGTTTTAAACGAGATTGATACGAATTTTCAACACCAAATTGAAATATCCGAGAAATATGGTTCGGGATGGAACTTATGCGAAATTCTAGGAAGCGATATTCGGGTTGCCGAGTTCGAGATTTTGCGAGGTGGTTGCTTTGTATCGGTCCCTGAAGAGTTGGCTGGAAAGAAAGCAATTATCTAATAATTGGATTACACGGAGTTAAGTGGAAAAGTCGAAGAAAAAGTTTTGCTTTATTTTGTCAATATTTCGAATGCTATCTGCTATTCATTATCAAGACATTTACAAGATGGGAAATTTGTTACAAGATTTCGTAGTTGAAATTAGTTAGTGTAAATTCATAAAAATAGTTGTCATGTTTGTGGCGTTGGATACTGGGGTCACGTTTTGAAGTGATAAAAAATGTAAAGGGACCCAACTTGATGGACCGAGGGAAAACCTTGCCATAAAGAAAAGAAGGAAAACCTCAGTCAATCCACCCAGACCCCATTTGGCATCAAGTTGGGTTGATGTTTTGTTGTGTGTCGCTTGAAAGTGGGAGTGGTTTTGTGTTAATAAATTTTGGATGTCGAATGATTGGTAGAAGTAAAGCTGCCCAAATGGGGTTGATGTTTTTGCCGTCATTAGAGTTGATTTTGTCTTTGTCAAGTTTTTTAATGTAAAGTCCTTCTTTGTATTTACGGTAAAAATATCTGTGTTCTGATTCAATAAGTGCAGTGGATTGAAAATGGATGGTGTGAGTGGGATTGTCTTTGATATGTTGTGCTACTGCTGAAACGATTTTTTGCTCGGTGACATGCTTGTTTTTGTTTCTGGTGGTCATTTGAGAAATGTTGGTATACGTTATGTTTACCTTGTCTGTTTCTGATTTGTGTTCTTTTATTCTATCTAAAAGTGGTCTACATGTTTCAACTATATATAGTTTGTTACAAGAGCAAGGAATTTTATATATACCTATCTGAGGGGTTGGTGCTGCCTGTTTGTGTGTACATATCATATTTCCTACCTTTTTACCTGGAATATAACCGAAAGTGCAAGAGAGAGTGCGTCAAAGAAAGTGTGAAAGTTTTGTTGTGAGGGGGCCAGAATATGGTAGTATGATACGTGCGCCTGTCTCTAATGTTTTAGGTTGATTTGTCTGAAACTTTTTAATGCGTTTATTTATGAGATGCAAAGGGTAGCCATTTTGCATGAGTTGTGATTTTATTAATTGTAATTCTTGGCTTAGGAATTCTGGACTGCAAATGGTAAATGCCCTATATAAAAGTGAATCAATTACCGAAATTTTGTGAGATTGGTGGTGGTAAGATGTGTAATGCAAATATCTACCTGTGTGTGTACTTTTTCTGTAAACTTTGTGTTTTGTAGTACCATCTGTGTATCTAATTATGGTTATGTCTAAAAAATGTAATTGATTGTTAGTTTCTTCTTCTAACGTGAATTGTATCTCTGGATGGAAATTATTGAACTGATTTAAAATGTTTGTTGTTTCGTTTTTTGTGATGCAAGTATCGTCAACGAACCTACGATGAAAATGTATGAGTGGGTTATTATTCACTAGTGTGAGTTCTAAATATTGCATGAAAAATTCAGCAAAAACTGGTGAAATTGGGGAACCCATTGGTGTGCCTGTGGTTTGTTGGTAATATGTGCCCTTGTACTGGAAATAATTGGAGGAAATGCAAAGTGTGAGTAATTCTAAGATTTCAGTAGAAGTGAGACTAGTTTTGGTTTTCCATATATCTTTGTTAGCGTCTAATTGTTGTTTAATATAATTTAGTGTTGGTTGTATTGGAACCTTTGTGAAGAGTGATTTTACATCAAGGGAAATCATGGTTTGATCGCGTGGAATTTTTAAAGTTTTAATCTGTTCTTCAAATTTGTATGAATTGAGAATGGAGTGTTTGCTTTTAATTGTGATTGTTTTCAAAATCTTGTTCAGATAGTGAGCTAAATTATAGGAAGGTGAATGACGGAAATCGCAGATTGGTCTAATTGGAATGCCTGATTTATGTATTTTAGGTAAACCATAAAATATAGGAGCGGAAGAATGCTTTGGTGCAAGATTATCGTATGTGTGTTTGTCAATTCTATTCATATTATGCAACTTATGTAGTTTTTGTTGGATTGATTGTTCTATTTCTTTTGTTGGGTCATTGGGTAGTATTTTATATGCAGGGTCATCTAATAATTGTGCCATTTTGGTTTCATATTCATTCCTATTCATTATTACTGTCGCATTGCCTTTGTCTGCGGGACATATTACGATGCTATTGTCTGTACGTAATTTTTCTATGTGAGGTAGTGCCCAAGTAAAATCAGAAGTATTTATATTGGTTTGTTTTTTATGATCATGTATAATTCTTGATGCACCTGATCTAATTATGTTTTTGTCATGTTCCGTAAGATTTTCGTCGTCAGTGTTTTTGAGCCAATTTTCTATTGCTAATGTTGTTTCGATAAGTTGGTGTTTATGATTTTTTATTGGTAATGCATAGTTTAGCCCTATTTCTAGTGTTTTTTGTTCAAGTGGGGATAGTATGCGTTCTGAGAGATTAATAATGCTAGATTTTATGTTCGTAGTTTGTGAGTGTTGTGTGTGTGTTGTATGAGGAAGATTTTTTGCAATTTTTTGAATTTTTGTGTCAATTAATTTGTCGAGTTTTCGTATTTGTCTAGATTTAGTCTGATTATGGAGATGATTGATACGGGTATTTGTGAAAAGGGTAATGGTGTCGTATAAGTCGGGACATTGAGATTTAAGGATATTTTTCTTATCTGTGATTGCTTTCTGGTAATTATTTATGGTCTTGTACTTGTCCATGATTGCTTGTTTTAGAATTCGTTGCTCCAAGTTTTGAATCCATCCATCGGTTTTCGAGAGAGTTGACCAATTGTTCTTGATCCGGAATGAGGTTGGGGTCACATTATGAGCTCGGCATTTTCTTAAAAAGATCACATCATTTTTGCATTGCGTGAATTTTTTGGAAGTGTCCTCCAGAGTTTTGAGAGTGTGTAGTAGGTCAGGTCCGCCCCTCCTTTGGATTTTTTGTTTGATATCTTTCCATCCAATACCCATTATTTAATAATTGGATTACACGGAGTTAAGTGGAAAAGTCGAAGAAAAAGTTTTGCTTTATTTTGTCAATATTTCGAATGCTATCTGCTATTCATTATCAAGACATTTACAAGATGGGAAATTTGTTACAAGATTTCGTAGTTGAAATTAGTTAGTGTAAATTCATAAAAATAGTTGTCATGTTTGTGGCGTTGGATACTGGGGTCACGTTTTGAAGTGATAAAAAGCAATTATCCATCCGCAAATGCAGGGAAACAAATGCTTTCAATGGGCTTTTCTGATTGGCATGCATATTAACGATATAAAGTCACTTCATAGAGCAAGGATCAGACAGTACGAAAAATTTGTAAATAATTATGATTGGAAATGCATTGAGTTTCCTACAACACAGCAGAATATCAAAACATTTGAAAGTCGAAACGCTGAGAAGATGTTCGCTGTAAATGTATTCGGGTTCGATGATCGAGGGAAGCTAAATATTAAATACCAAAGTATGCACATCCGAGATAAAAAACGGAAAATTGTTAACCTACTTTACGTTCAAACCTGTGCAAATAATCCAGGACATTTTATGTACATAAATGGAATTGAAAAACTTTACGGTTCTAAAAATCATCATAAGCGATTACTGTGTTATAATTGCCTTGCTCTATTTCCAAGTCAAGCTCGCTTAAATAAACACGAAGAACTTTGTTTTTGTTTCAAGAAGCAACGCGTTTGCATGCCAGATCCCTATGATTTACGCGAGGAGCCTGTTTGTCGATTTAAAAAGTTTGAAAATAAGTTAAAATCTAGGTTTGTCATTTATTCGGATTTTGAGGCTCTCTGTATGAAAGTAAAGCGAAGAAGAGGAAAAATACGGCAGTACGCTAAACATGTTCCGAGCGGTTATTGTTTTGTAGTTGTCTCAAACGATGAAGTGATTTACAAATCGTTATATCGTGGAAAGGATTGCATGGAAATATTCGTAAAAGAGCTTTATGAAATTTGCGATCAACTAAATAGTTTGAATTTAAACAAGGTGCCCATGAGAAATCTTACATTAGAAGAGCAAACATTGTATGAAGAGAGTATTTGTCACATTTGTGAAAATGTTCTCCAGGAGGATAAAGTAAGGGACCATTCACATGAAACTGGACGCTTTAGGGGGGCAGCGCATCGTCAATGTAATGCCAAATACCGTCAAAAAGATAGAATACCGGTTTTAATGCACAATTTTAGGAGCTATGATTCGCACTTACTGCTTAGTTACGTCAGAAAACTGTCTGCGAAAGAAGTGAAAGTGATTCCGTCTAATTCTGAAAAGTATATGGCGTTGCTCTGTGAGAATTACGTTTTTCTGGATTCGTTTCTCTTCCTCACAGCCTCGCTGGATACTCTGACGAATGACTTGTTGTTGGGAAATAATTTTGAGCAAGACTTCAAACCATTAATACAGATTTTCGGACAGGGTGCGGCTAAAGAGATGTCCAGAAAAGGAATTTATATGTATGAATATATGGATAAGTGGAAAAAGTTTGATCAAAAAAAGTTTCCCAAAAAATCCGACTTTTACAATTCATTGGCAAGTTCGGGCGTTTCAGATGTTGATTACAAGTACGGTAAACATATTTTCAAATCATATTGCTCGGATTTAGGGGATTATCATGATCTCTATTTAATGACCGATACTTTGTTGTTGGCTTGTGTTTTCGAGAAATTTCGTGAGGTTGCCTTGACACATTATAAACTAGATCCTGTTCACTATTATTCGCTAGCAGGGTATTCATGGGATGCTGCATTATTAAATACGAAACAG